CGCTCTTTCCCTCCCGCCGCCCGCCTCCTGCGGCCCCGCCCCGGCCCGGCCCCGGCCCCGCCCCCGTGACGTCAGGCCGCGGCCCAACAATGGGCGGCCGGCAGCGCGCACGCGCGGGGCGAGCAGGGAGGGGCCGCGGGCGGTCACCTGGCCCGGATCCTGCCCCGCCCCCAGTACCCGGGCCGGGATCGGTGCGCTCGCACGTGGGCGCAGCCGCAGGTAGCTGCCGCAGGTAGGTGCCGCCGGGCCGCTTAGCCGGGGTCCTCCCCCAGCCCGTGCGCGCCCAGGCCCGGGGTCCCTCTCCCTGAGTTCCTCTGGCGCCCCTGCCCGGCTTAAGTCAGGCTTCTGCCCTGCGTCCCCCAGCCAGGGACCCCCTACGTCCGAGCACCAAAGCGTGGGGTCCCTCTCCGAGACCCCTTAGAGATCGAGGCGGGCTTCGGAATCAGGGCCCCCTCCCCGATCCACGATCCCCCCACCCCATGCGTGCTCAGGGCCTGGGGTTCCTCTGATTCCCATTAGAGATCGGGGCGGGGCTCGCCACGCCCCGCTCCCACCTTCCCTGAGACGGGGACCCCCGGCCCCGTGCACAAAGGCGTGGGGTCCCTCTCCCTCAGTGCCTCTCGAAGGTCCCGCCGGGCTTAAAAGTCAGGCCCCCTGCCCGGTCCCTACTCTGTGCCAGGGACAACCCTCGCGTCGTCCCTCTCGGCCCTCTGGGGATCAGAGCTGGGCAGGCCACAGACAAGTCAGAGATTTTCCAATGAGGGACCTTCCCTGCCTGGCAGGTTCCCTCAGCCAGGGCCCTCCGGCGTGGAGACCCACTTTCTTCTGGGGGCCCCGCCTCTTGTCCTTCCAGTCCCTCCGCCATAGCTGCCCCTGCTCAACGTCTTTCACTTTCAATCACTTCTCTGCCCACTTCTACCAGGCGGGGCTGGTCAGGCCGGGAGGTAAAGGCCTTGGCCTGCCTGGGTCAGTCCCTCTGTCCAGAGCCCTTACTCATCCTAAAATGTCTCTGCTGACCCCAGGCCCACCAGTGCCACTTCCTCTCTTGAGATCCTGGATTTCTGTTTGTGCACTCAAATGCTTGGAATTATTTATTACTTTTTTTTCTATTTTTTTCTTTTAGAGATGGGGTCTGGCTATGTTGCCCAGGCTGGAGTGCGGTGGCTATTCACAGATGCAATCCCACCCCTGATCAACAAGGGAGTTTTGACCTGCTCCGGTTCCAACTCGGGGCAGTTCACTCCTCCCTGGGTAGCCTGCTGGTCCCTCGCTCCCGGGGGTCACCATATCAACCCCGAAGTCAGTGCAGACATCCGCTCGGCACAGCACATGACAGCCCAGAGCTTGGGCTCAAGCGATCCTCCTGCCTCAGCCTCCGGAGTAGCTGGGATGACAGACAGACCTGTGCCACCACTCCTGGCTGCCTGGAATTGTTAATTGCTTTGTAATAACAGATGCCTGGTTCTCTCCCCATGGGACTGAGCTCTGGCAGGGCAGTTCCATATCTGCTGGGCTCCACTGGGCTCCCAGGAAACACATAGTGTGGGATTGATGGGCCCCTACCCTCTCTGGGTTCCAGCCATAGGCCTTGACCTTGTTTCCCTGCAGAGCAGAAACCTCCACCTTAGCTGGTATTCAAGGCCTGAGGCCAGGCGTGACCTCCTCAAGTCCCCTTAGGGCCCCCCGAGCCGTGCACCTGAGAGCACCCAGTACCAGGCCTTTGCAGGTGGTGACCTGGTGGGTGGGCTGCCTGCGCGCTGGCACCGAGGGAAGCATACAGATTCCGTGGTGAGTGCTGAGACATCCACATGCAGGGGCTCAGGGTGGGAGAAGGGGTGGGGCACAGGGAGGAGAAAGGAAGAGCAACATCAGGGCTGTTGGTGGTGACAGATGGGGAAACTGAGGCCAGAGAGGGGCTTGCCTCGGGACGCACCTTTGTGGGTATTCACGTGCCCCTGAGCCCGCGTTAGTCCCTGTGGAGCGGTGTTCACACAAGCCAAGTGCTGGGTGGCTTGTGTCCTGGGCCTGCCCCTTTCTCCTTCCAGCCCCAACTCAACGCTGCTTCCCTCTGCTGGGCGAGGAAACTGGACTACAGAGAGGCCTGGGGGGGCGTGGCACCCAGCCCAGGTCACCCCAGCCCACCGCTGCCACCTGGCAACACTGGGACACCAGGGGTCGTGGGCGGGGCAGGTGGGTCTGGCAGCTCAGCACCCAGGTGTCCGGCCAACAGAAGTCTGGAACGAGAGAGGGCTTGGGAGCTCAAAACACAGGAAGATTCAAGGCAGAGGAACAAAGTGAAGCAAAAAGACCAGAGCTGGGAACTGCAAGAGGAAAAGAGGAAACAGATTCCACGTGGGACAGAGGAAAATGGAGGGAAGTTGTCAAAGAAATAATAGGAGGAGATGCCCAGGACCGTGGGACCAGAGTCTCCAATGAGCTAGGACCCTGCAGCTTGTGCTGGGGACACATGTCTGGATTCCAGGGACCCCTAAATGCTTCCAGGTCACATTCCAAAGGATTAGGAGGGAGAACACCTCTGTTCCCAGGGAAGGTGATGCCGGATCCCTGAGTGTGTGTCAAGCGAGAGGAAGAATCAAGGTGTTTCGGGCCTTCGAGGTTTTCGCTGATTAGCTTAGTGTTCTGGAAGATGCACTCCAGCAAAACAGGCGAGTCAGTAAACGAAGAAAGAAACAGGTTCTGCCCCAGGAAGGTCCTGGGGAGGCCTGAGGGTGGTGGCGGAAAGTTTGGCTGTGTTGAAGAACCGTTGGGGGCATCTGCCATCAGGAGCAGAGGCGACTGCTGGTGTCTACACGCAGTCAGGGATACGTGAACACTGGCCTGTTTAATGTTTGCAAGGATTTACTGATAACGCCCCTGCAGCCATGTATTTTTAAAGTCTTAGGCTGGGCGTGGTGGCTCACGCCTCTAGTCCCAGCACTGTGGGAGGCTGAGGTGGGAGGATCACCTGAGGCTAAGAGTTCAAGACCAGCTGGGGCAGCATAGCGAGACCCTGTCTCTACCAAAAAAAATTTTAAAAATTAGCCTCACAGACACTAAATCTGCTGGTGCCTCTGTCTTGGACTAACAGCCTCCAGAAATGTGAGAAATAAATTTCTGTTGCTCACAAGGCACCCAGTTTATGGTATTTTGTTATATTAACCGGAACAGATTAGACAGCTCTGGAACAGGGTTTCTCCCCCTCAATACTATTGTCATCTGCAGCCGGGTCATTCTCTGAGGTGGGGCCGTCCTGGGCACTGCTGGACCACGTCCCTGCTCCCCCCATGCCAGGGGAACTCCTCCACCACGTATCCCACACCCCATATTAGTTTCTGGTGGCTGTCGTGACAAACTATCACAAACTGAGTGGTTTAAAGCAATGAGTATTTAATTCTTCCCACTTCTGGAGCCCAGAAGTGGAAAATGAAGGACCAGCCCCCTCGGAAGGCGCCAGGGGAGGCTCCTTCCTACCTCTTCTAGCATCCGGGGCTCCAAGCGGTCTTGGCCTGTGCCGCATCGTGGCGGTCTCAGCCTCTGTCTCCACGCGGCCTCTTTCCCTGAGTCTCTGTGTCCAAACATCCCTCTTCCCACCAGGACACACGTCCTCCAGCGTGAGCTCATGTTAGCTTGATCGTGTCTGCAGAGACCCTGTTTCCAAATAAGATCTTGTCCACAGGTTCCGGACGTGGACATATCTTTGTGGGGGTGCGATTCAACCTGTGACACGTCCCCTGGGTGCAGAAATGCCTTGTTTGGGAACCGCTGGTGTAGTTGGTGGGTGTATGGCGGTCCCTGTAAGGTTCTTTCAACTCTGCAAATGTTGGAGACTTTTGTACGTAGAATGTCGGAATAAAACAAGGAATCAGAGGCAGTTTGGGGGGCGGTGATTTATGGGAGACATGGTGGACCTGGGTCCTGCTGATAAGCTGTGGTTGGCACGTTATGTGTGGCTAGTATATGTTTGAAACCTTCTGTAATACAAAAATACACTTTAAGGCCCGGCGCACTGGCTCACACCTGTAACCCCAGCACTCTGGGAGGCCAAGGCGAGAGGATCACTTGAGACCAGGAGTTTAAGACCAGCCTGAGCAAGAGTGAGACCGTGTCTCTACTAAAAGAAGAAAAATTAGCCGGGCATGGTGGTGGCGCCTGTAGTCCCAGCTACTTGGGAGGCTGAGGCAGGAGGATTGCTTGAGCCCAGGAGTTGGAGGCTTCAGTGAGCTGTGATGACGCCACTGCACTCCAGCTGGGGCAGTAGACTGAGACCCTGTCTCCGAAATACACAAATAAATAAAAGAAGGCTGCTCCTGCCCACCTGGGGCTGGGGCGCTGGGCGTCGCAGGGCGTGTGTCTCGGATGTCCCTGAGCTGCTGGCGTTGGGCAGGGACCCAGCTGGGGGGAGGGGTGCCATGGCTGGGGTGGGCTCCTGGTCTGCAGGGAGATGACAACACAGGAAGCCCTTTTTGGTGCTGGAAAGTGCAAGGTCACAAGGGCTGAGACATGGGGGGCGGTCATTCAGGGGGTCCCCACGCCAAGAGCCAAGGAGCAGGGTTCTCGAGTTTCCCACCCCCACCACTCTGGGGTGGGATGGGACAGAGAGCAGGTGGGGTGTGGGGCCATGTGCTCCTGGGCTCAGCCTGGGGGGCAGGGAGCCTGACAGGAGCCCGACCACCTGGGGGCCCCCACCCACCCCAGCCCACCTCCTGCCCCCATGTGGCCTTTGCCATTGGACTGTATCTCTCAGGCTGCTGGGGTCCCCGAGGTTTCAGGGAGGGAGGAAAGAATTTAGGAGGGATCCTTAAGCCTGGACGGGTAGCCACAGCCTTGGGTCTGGAAGGGCCTTGGGTACAGATAGCCCTGCAGCAAGGTGGGGGTCACTTCATCCTCAGGCCAGGCCCCGCCCTGTCTCAGGGCCACTAACACGTCCTGCAGTCCGAGTGACTGGGGTCTCTCAGTGGCAGGAGGCTGGGCTCACAGACCCCAACACATGAGGGGTGAGGGGGCCTTTAAGGCTCTGACACTGCTGTGGGGACAGGCAGCCAGAGTCCTGGGTGCCCCCAGGGCAGGACAACCCCCTCTGGAGGTGGCCGGGGCGGGGATCAGGGCAGGGACGGCTGCTGAGTGGGAGCCCCAAGGCCCTAGGGCTAACCTTGTTCTCCCTGGAAGGCCCCTCCTGCCTCATCTCCCTTGGGGTAACAGGTGGGGGGCTCTGACCTCAAGATCATCTGTCCTCCCTCTGGGCAGCAGGACCACGACCTACGACCTGGGCCCGGGTGCTGCCCCGGGTCCTTCCCAAAATGAGGTGCACCCACCCCCATCACCGCTGACAAAACCGGCACCGGCTGAAGTCTAGAGAACTCGCGCTGGGGCCACTCAGCGCTCCCGGCATGTCCGGGTCCTCAGGGTTAACCGAGGCTCCGACACGTCCCACCTGAGTGGCTTTATTCCGCCATGGATACAGGACACCCGCTGCCCCCCGTCCCTCCTCCCTCAGGCAGGGCACAGGCCGAGGCCATTCTACGGACAGCACCTGGGGACCGTGGGCCAGGCAAAGGGTCACAGCTGGGGACCCCAAACCATTGCCATGGGGAACTGACAGCGTCCCCGACCAGAGCTGCCCTCAGCTGCCTCGGCAGGCAGGAGGCTGAGCCCTCCCAGGCCCAGGACATGGAGGACACGGAGCCCACGCAGGGCCGCGCCCACCCACAGCTCCGGTGGCCGCCGTCCTCTGAGAATTGTGCTTTGACTTGACACAGAAGGAAAGGAAAGCCGTCAGCGCCTACTGGGTCAGCATCCATGGAGGGCCAGGGGATGCCTGGGCCCCCAGTGACCTCATCAGAGGTCAGCGCCAACCCACCCGGCATCCAGCCAGGGCTCGGCCCACGATGCCCACCCCCCGCCTGTCCACGCGGGGCAGAGCAGACACAGGAGGAGGGATGAGGCCCGGAGATGACAGGCCGCTGGCACAGAGTCCCCGCAGGGCAGGGTCGGTGGTTGAGGAAGCAGCCCCCAGGCTGGGGGCAGGGGTGTCTGAGTGACACGTCATTAGGATGACCTTGGTGCCAAAGGCTCTGCCCTGTACCATTTACTGAGAGCACCCGCTCTGCCCCGAAAGCCAGGCACCTGTCCCCGCTCTACAGATGGGGAAACTGAGGCACAGGAGTTGGCGACAGCAGAGCTGCCTGGAGCCCCGGCCTGGCACGTCGGTGCCTGAGCCCTCTTTAAGGTGGTTTCAGGCGCCAGGGGGCTCCCGTCAGGGCCTGAACCTCAGACCGGGGCGCAGCAGCGGGAGACAGTCTGGTTTTCAGAAGCCAAGGCCAGAGTTCACGTCCAAGTGCAGCCCGTACGAAAGCTCACACAGCTGGGAACGTCCACCCTCGTGTGTATCATGGGTTTATTGAAGGGACGGGACCTCCTGGGCGTGCCCTGTGGTGGCTCTGCCCCGCTGGGTGGCCGTGCAGAGGGAGGGCAGAGGTTCAGATCGTCGTCCCACGCGCTGCATGGGGAGGCGACCGGTTCCAGAAGTATTTCTCCAGCCTCGTAGAGATGTGGCAACCGAAGAATCCTCACAGGTGCTCCCAGTCCCTGGGTGCGGCCCAGGCGGGCACCTGCAGGTGGCTCTTCTGTCTCCAGGGGCTGGGGCGGCAGCCACAGGGACCGGGCTGGTCTGGGCCCTGGCACCACGAGGCTGCGATGACCCAGGAGGGGCCTCCTGCCACGCAGGGCCCAGGAGCGACCGGCACTTCCGGAATGCAGGCCCTTCCCAGGGAAGGCGTGGAGGGTCCGTTGGGTGGGGGGCTGTCCCCAGCCGTGCCCAAGGCCCAGGACAGGGAGGATGGAGCGGGCAGGGGCAGCCTTCCTCCCCGGCCAGGCCTGGCTCCTGAGCCTGGTCCCAAGCACAGCCAAGGGCCAAGTCTGCAGGCGGCTCTCGGCGTGTGTCCCCGCAATGTGGAGTTCTTGGCGGGGCATCTAGAAGATGACAGGAAGGGACACCACTAGGGACCGATGGGGACAGGGTGCCCAGACTCTCCCAGGGAGACACCACCCAGCACAGCCCTCAGGCTTGTGGGGACACGGCCCCTCAGCTCAGGGGCCCCCCAGGCAAAGGGGCTCCATTTCCAGTGACCCCAACACTGTGGCCCCAGCCCCCACCTGCCCGCAGTCACTGCCCACCTGCACGCTGCCGCCTGGGACCTGTTCCAGCCACAGGCTTGGCCCGGAGCTCCCTCCCCCACCGTGGGCCCGAGCGGCACCTGCCCTAGATGTGCTCCATCTCCTGGTCCTGGTCGGGCTCCTCCTCCTCCTCCTCTTCCTCCTCCTCATCCTCGTCCCCGCAGGCCTTGTCCAGCGGCGCCTCGCCATCGCGGGCCAGCTCCTCCACGTGCGCCAGCATGTCGGCCATCAGGGCCTCCTCCAGCCGCTTCCGCACCTGCTGCACCAGCTCCTCCTGCTTCCTGGGGACACAGGCCGGGCTTGCTGGGGAAGGGGAGGACCCGGGGCACCCCCAGGACAGCCCCTGCCTGCCTCCTGCCCCTCTCAGTCAATGTTCCGTGTAGGGGCCGTCCCTGGGCAAAATTGGCTTAAGCCCAGAGTCAGCGAAACTGGGTGTGCTCTCCTTGGAGCCAGAGGTCAACAGGTCCACACACGGCCTGTTGGACAAACAGAACTATTCCTCATGACAGAAGCTTTATGATAGATAACCAAGCGCCTGGGGTCTTGCAAACAAGCCAAGGCATCTCATTGTCCTGCATACGGTAATGAGGTAAAGAAGTTAAGATACAAGAAGTTAAGATGCAAACGTCTGCTTCCCTTAAGCAATCGTCTGGGAGGAATGAAAATGTGTTTCCTCAAGACGCCTAAAGTAGTCACGTACCAGGAAGTAGCTGCCGGACATAGAAAAAGTATATAATAAAGCGACTGGTAGAATTATCTACTGCAGTCTTGTATGTCCTTGTGTGTGTCTGTGTGTTTCTTTCTGTGTCCATCCCCCGTTCTGCAATCCGGGCTGCGACATTCCAGGTTGCACAACTTCCGCCCTGCCAGGGCCTGAGGGACTCCCCAGACCCTGGCACTGGCCACCTCTGCCTGGCCCGGTCTCCCTGGGCTCAGGCGCGAGAGCCCCTGGCCTCTGCCACCAACCCTGCAGGCACTCAGGAGAGCTTCTTCAAAACCAGTTACAACCTCACCGGCTATGCGCCACCCTCTGGGCCTGAGTCACCTGTCCGCTCCGGCCTCTGCCTCCATCCTGTGGCACTGGTGTGTGCTTTCTTTTATTATCACTTACTAAAAGGGTTTGTTCTGCAAAACTCAGATTCAGTCAAAAGGCTGCACCCAGGGATCCGGAAGGTCACATGTGGCCCGGAGGCTGCAGGGCACCCCACTCCTGGCTTAGGGGGGTTGGAAAAGAAAAAGGACACCCGTGTGTTCAATCCAGCTGTCCGACCAGAGGGTCACTTCTAACTTCCTGACAGCGAGCTCGGCGAATTCCGGGAACACAACTCCGCCCACTGCCTCACGGCTCCTGGCGCTGCGCCAGCTCCGCAAAGGCAGCCGGCGTCCCTCTCTGGCTGCTCCAAGACCCTCTCCCGGTCTCCCCTGCCTCTCACGCTGCTCCTGCGGACCCTGTGCCGGTCCTGCCCCTCCCGTCCCCAGAGGCACATCCCGGCTAACTCGCTCCCCTGTCTCTAGGACCAAATCTGCTGCTTAACCCACAGCTGAGTTCTTCACTTCAATGGCTTTTTCTACTTCTAGACGATCCACAGAGCTTTTAAACATCTGTCTAGTGTTTCCTGACAGTCTTACGCTTTTCTTCTGTTTTCCCTTCTACATGTCACACCTTTCCTCACCGTAGGGCGTTCCTAGACCTTGTGCACAGTACACACTGATTCTAACACCACGGCTGGGGGACTGCCCCTGCCCGTCGGCACCCGGCGTGGCCACCAGCAAGGAGCCTGCGGGAGCCCCGTGTCCCATCTGCCAGGGGTGCTGGTGTCTGCGTGCCATCTCCTCACCCTGCACGGGGCGCAGGGTCTCCGCTGTCCTGCCACGTGGCTTTGAGACCCCTAGCCGCTGAGCAGGAAGCCCACGCAGCCTGAGCCCCCTTTCTACCCACCCAGGAGTGAGTGACTGCTCAGAGTGTGAGGTCCCCTCTGTTCCGGACCCCTACAGAGGTCCCTTCCCTCCTTTGACCTAAGACGTGCACTCGCAAATAGAGCTAAGAGATGTGTTTTCTCCTGGCACTTCTAGATGCTTCCTGCATGTGCACAACAGTGTGAGGTGACCCCTCTGCACCAGGAGGCCTTTGCAGACGGTCCCAGTACACGCGCCCCGCTGGCCGTGGCATCACCCTGTGCACTGGACCCTGGTTCTGCCCTGAAACCGCTCCCAAGGGTCCTTTGCCCACGGCTGCGGCCTAAACCCTGAGCCCCAGCATCCAGAGCCCCTGGGGACCCGGCACCCAGCCTCAGCTCTCGCCAGCTCCACTATTTCCCACTGCCGCAGCGGCCACAGGCCCTGCCACTCTGAGTGCTACACACGCTGCCACTTCTGCCGGGAAAGCCCCCCCACTCCCATGCGGGAACCTCCAGAATCACATGCCCCTGAGGACAGGAGGCCTGGGCGGCCCACCCCCGCACACCAGCCAACACAGGCAGAAAGCACGTTTCCTTTTCAAGAACATCCTTCAAGGGGTGCCTGACTGGCCTGTCCTGAACCTAAAACTTGGGTGAACAAGTTCAAGCTGCCGCTTTAACAGGAGGTTCCCTTGTAGCCAGTGCTCAGAGTCACCCAGGGACGCTCTACCATGACCCCGAGAGACAGGGCAGAGGGACGGGGAGCGGAGGGGAAGGCCAGGCTGGCTACCTACCTGATGTCCTCGTCGGTCACCATGAAGGCCTTGCACAGGGGCTGTGTCGTGTTGAGCCACACACCGGGGTTCTTCTCCACGGCGGCCGAGAGCTGCCCAGTGATGGGCATGGTGCTGGTGTGCAGGGCGCTGGCAATGGCCGACAGCAGGGTCTCGTCTGTGCAGCCAGGCCCCACCCCTACCAGGGCAGCAGGAGAGACAGCCCCAGGCGGCAGGGTCACCACGGGCAGCTGTGACCCAGAAAGAGGCCCCCGCTGGCCACCCGCCCCCCAGAGGCTGGTCCAGGCCTCAGGACATGCCCCAAGAACAGGGCTTCTCCCTCTCCCTTCAGCCTCAGGTTTAGTGTCCCGACTCCCCCCACCCCTGCCCGTGTCCTTACTTAACACAGGCTCTGCACTGTGTGTGCACCGTGCGCGTGTCCCAGGGTGTGGGAGCAAAACATCCTTGCTCGTCTTTTTAGGATCCCCAAGGTAGAGCCCTGCATCCTGCAGGCCAAACCACCCCCCCAACGCCTGGGCTGCACCTGGAAGCCCCAAAGTCCAATACCCACAGGGTCTCCAAGGTCAAGCAAGAAGGGCCTGGCCTGAGAGCCTCCCCCGCCAGCTCCGGCGGCCCTGCCCTTGGGGCGCACAGCTTCGACACTCCTCCAGTCACCTTGCAGGCCCTTGGGGAGGTCCATCGTCTTGACCAGCTCCTCGGCGATGTCGAAGGCGTTCAGGCCACTCAGTTTCTTCTCCCAGAAGAGCTGCAAGCACACAGACGGGAGCCTCCAGGGTGCTGGCCCTGGCTGAGCCACCCCCACCCCCTCCCATTTCCCACTCAGGGCCCGCCCCACCCGTGTCCCCAACGTGTGTAAACGACAGTGGAAAACACGAATGGTGCTCGGTTTTTTCAAAAGCAGGTTATAAAACCACATATGTATAGTTGGCCCTCCTGCCGGTTCCACGTCCACAGATTCAACCAACCACAGATGTGAAATATTTGGGGGGAAAAAAACCCAAATAACAATACACGAATAGAAAATGATGCAAAAAGTCAAAACGGTATCACGATTATTTACATTGCGTTAGATATTACGATCAATCTAGAGACGCCTTAAAGTATGCAGGAGGACACGTGCAGGTCACAGCAAGCACTAGGACGCTGTCTGTGGGGACCCGAGCACCCATGCAGCGCCGGACATCCTGGCCACACCGAGGGACGAACCCGTGGCCGCTTTCCAAGCCCCCACCCGCAGGGCTGGCGACAACACGGCCCACGTGGCAGGCAGGGGACCCACATGCCCGCGCTCACCTGCCGCGGCTGGTCCACCGCCTTCTGCGGGTCGCTCTTCACCTTGTTGCTGGGGTGGTTGGTGATCTTGGTCACCGGCTGCTTGAAGATGGACGCCGTCTGCCGCACGGGCAGCGCCGTGTTCAGGTCGGGCTTGCCCTGCGGGGACCAGGCGCTGCAGGCCGAGGCCGGGGCCGGGCCCCCCGCGTCCCCACGGCCCCCGCGCTGCCACAGCCGCGCGCTCGGCCCCTCCGGCTCCAGGGCCCACGTCCGCGCCATGCCGGACCTCTGCCCTCCACCCCCGCCGCCGGCGACACCACGTCACCGCCGGCGTCATGACGTCACACAGCGCGAGGGGGACGCGACTCACCTTGACCTGGTTGGACGAGTCATAGCGCACGCGCTGGCGGCTCTTATTCATCTTGCTCATGAGCATCTTGCCCGTGCGGAAGTCGAAGGTACTCAGGTCCATGGAGCCGCCCAGGTAGCGCGCCAGCTGCGGCTTGCTGCGGAACTTCTTCCCGCTTGGGCTGCGGCGGCAAGGCGGCGGTGGGCCGGCCGGACCAGGACCACCACCCGCCCGGCCCCCGGCCCCCCCATCCGACCGCGTACCTCCAACCTGGATCTGGACCGCAGCCCTGGACCGCAGCCCTGAACCCCCGGCTTGACCCCAGCCCCTACCCCTGGGTCCCCAACCCGGCCCAGACCCCGGTCCCGAATCCCTGACCCGACCCTGGACCCCAACCACGACCCCAACCCCAACCCAGCCATGGACTGCAGCCCTGGACCCCCACCATGGATGCCCCACCTGGACCTGGACCCCAGCCCGAAGCCAGCGTGGGACTCACGCCTTTACCTACAGGATTGTGGGTCCCGGCCGGGGAGGCTGGCTCACGTGTCCAGAACATTCCAAAAACAGAATTAGCTTGTGCTCTTGAGAGAAGACCCCAAGGGGAGCAGGTATTGGAGGGACAGCCCTGAAGGCAGCCTCCTCACCTCAGGGAAGGTGTAAAGGGGTCTGGCGCAAAGATTCGGGGCCAGGACCCTGAAAAGCTGCCGGGGGGTGCCCTGGCTCGGGCATGGAAAGGGATCTGGGTGAAAGCGGCACGCAAAGCTCTGCCCTCAGCGCTCTCTGGGAAACACGGACACCAATCTGTAGGGCTGCCCTGTGTGCTGAGTGTCATACCGCAACATGACTACACCCGACCCGCACATTGTCACCACGGTAGGTGGGTTGTGAAAGGGAGCAGCGGTTTTGAAAAACGGTCTGGCAGCTCCTTCAACAGTGAAAAGTTTCCTACGACCCAGCCATTGCACTCCTTGGTATCTACCCGAGAGAAACGAAAACATGCGTCCACACGGTAACTTCACACACAGTAACTGCTACCTGAATGTTCCCAGCACTACTGTCACAACAGCTGAAAGGTGGAAACAGCCCAAATGCCCAGACACACATAACACGGTCCACCCACATGTGGAAAATTACTCAGCCACGAAAAGGGACGAGGCTCTGACACAGGCCACCTCGTGGATGGACCTTGAGGACGTCGTGCTCCGTGAGAGATGCCAGACACAGGACACACAGCGTGTGACTCCATTTATATGAAATGTCCAGAACAGGCAGATCCACAGAGACAGGCCATGGATTCGTGGGTGCCAGGGGCTGGAAAGTGACTGCTCACAGGGACAGGGTGTCTTTTGGGGGTGATGAAAATGTTTTGACATTAGATAGTGCTGATGATTGCACAACTCTGTGACAAATATCCTAAAAACCAGTGAATTGCACACCTAAGTGGGTAAATTGCATGCTCTATGAATCATATCTCAATAAAGTTGTCTAAAAACAATAGCACCTGTGTGGTGCTTACTAGGCCAGGTACCTTAAGCACATTACCTCTACAGACTCAGGGAACAGTCCCTCTTATTAGTGACCGCTCAGTCTGAGAGACTGGTGAGTGGCTCTATTTTGTTGGTTGTCCCTGGAAACCTCTAGGATGAGCTGCTCCTGCTCCTGCGCCTGCCGCAGACATCCCTGCCCATGGCAGACACAGGACGATAAAGAGAACTTGGGGTCTGTCACAGCCAGACGGAAACCCAATCCTGCGATGTCTGCACAGAAATGTTTGGTCACATGCTTTGTTCAATCTCCCCAACCTGGGACCTACACACTAGGTTAGTACACAGACCGCAGGAAGTTAAACTTCCCTCTCTGCTGGGCAAATTCAGGGTTACACAATGGCATGGACACATCCACTAGGACACCGCACCCATGGAGGGCACCAGAGGACAACTGCCTGGGGCCCTGAAGCCACCCAGGACTCCTCTGGAAGAGTTACTTTCCTGAGTACGCTCTGGGCTGGCTGATGTTAAATCTGGGCCCACTCATCCAGGGCAGTGAAAACAAACCCAAGGCCGTGACTCAGCCTTCAAATACAGCCACAAAGAAGGAAGAAGGGACCCCCCCCACCCCAACAGAGGCTGCTCTGCCTTTTATGACAAAGGCCAACGGGGACACACAGAGGCATGGAACGCACACTAGTGGTTGCTCAGGGCTGGGGCAATGGGAACATAAAGCAGCGTTTTTTTCCTGGGATGAGGAAACTCTCAACTTGAATCTGATCATAGCTGTGCGTATCTATGAACATGCTAATAAAACCCCACTGATGTTCACGCTCTGAGTGAACTGTATGGTATGTGAACCACATCTCAATAAAGCTGTCTCAAAAAAATAAATACAAGACAGAAAGTGGATGAGTGGTTAGCAGGGGGTGGGGGAGAGTGGAATGGGGTGCAACTGCTAATGGTGACAGCCTTCTTTTTGGGATGATGAGAATGTTTTGGAATTAGTGGTGATGGTTACATAGCTTTGTCAATGTATTAAAACCACTGAAAAGAGAGGCCAAGTGTGGTGGCTCACACCTGTAATCCTGGCACTTGAGGTCAGGAGTTCGAGACCAGCCTGGGCAACATATCAAGATCCTGTCTCTATAATAAACAGAAAAATTAGCCAGGTGTAGTGGCATGCGCCTGTGGTCCCAGCTACTTAGGAGGCTGCGGCAGGAGGATCGCTTGAGCCCTGGAGTTGGAGGCTGCGGTGAGCTATGACAACACCACTGCACTCTACCCAGGGCAACAAAGTGAGACCCTGTCTCAAAACAACAACAACAAAAAACCCCACTGAATTGTATACTTTAAAAGGGTAACTTTTATGGAATGTGAATTGTATCTCGATTTTTAGAAAAGGTTATGTAGATCTGTATTGACACAGAAAGATGTCCCTGATATTTTATTGAATGAAAAACGATCAGACTCAATACAACCAAACGTATACAACAAAATGGGCCCTGCAACCTGAGCGCTCTCAGGCCTACCCGAGAGTGCGACAGGGAACAAGGAACCCACGATCAAAGCCTCAGGCAAGGAACACCCCAGGTCTGCAGCGGGCTGCTCCGGGCTGAGTCTGGCTTCACCCCTCACTGGTAGGAAACCTGAAATTTCTCCAGCCTTTTTAGAGCTTTTCCCTGCTCTTCTCCACTGCCAGACCGCGACGCTCAGGGTGGGAGGCTCAGAGTCGGATCCCCCATGGCTGAGGCCCCAAGAAGCTCCCGGGCAGACAGGGACTAGAGAGAGGCAGGGTGATGACAGTCTCAGGACTCTCTCGACAAACTGGCCTTGGTTCGGATCCTGAGCCACAGCCAGCTCTGAGCCTTCCGGGGGCCTTTGCACAGGCAGTTCCCGGCTCCGCTCCATATCACCTTCTTAGAGAAGGCCTCCCTAGTCTCAGCCAGGCACTGTTACCTGCTCTCACAGACCTTGGCATGTCACCACCCACAACCATAGCTGTCACATGGCTGGTGCGCTGGCTGTCACCCATGAGGGGAGGGGGCCCAATCTCACTCCCAGATGAAAGGCCAGGATCTATCCAGGCAGTGCCTGACACACTGGCATTTGTTATATTAACAAAGGACTAGAGAGGCAGACACAGACCAGCCAGCCGCTTTTGGAAGGATGAAGCATGCAGTGTGACTGGAGTTAGCATGACAAGCGTTCTTGAGTTAGCAGGCTGGCAGATCCTAGCCTGAGGACAGAGCCACAAGGTTCTTAGGAGGATGAAGTGTGTGTGTGTGCATGCGTGTGTGTGTGTGTGTGTTGGGGGGAGGTTGGGCAGCAAAGGGGAATGTACGGATTTATTCCTAAGTGACACTGCTTGCAGTCCCGCTATTTCAATTCCTGAAATTACAGGGTTCCAGCTAATTACAGCATTCATTGAGGCACCAAGTCTTTCCTCCGCTTCGCAGCCCTCACACTTTTTGGAAATCAAAACCTGAGCTTGTCCTAGAAGACCATACCTGCACACATCTACACAAGCGGTCCCTTCCCAGCTCACTTTATCTCCCCAAATGGGGTCAGCAGAGAACCACAGGCCACCGAAGTGCTCAGTGGATGTAGTGGTGGTCCTGCCGGTTCTCGGCTCATGAAAACTACTGGCCTTCACAGGGCTGGGGGAAGGACGGGGACCAGCAGCACCCAGGCTGGAGCACGCGGCAGACGTCCGGCTTTCCTTTGGAGGGGGACCTGAGGGCACCGCGGGATACCGAAGCACAGGGGCCGGCACAATCAAAGCTGGCTCAGATTCAAGTGTCTTTTCTTTCGCAAGCCAGGGAGGGGGAGAAAAAAGGAGGAAGACAAACAGCAGGTGGCCGACTGTCTGGGGCTGGGCTGCACGCCAGCGACTCACTCTTTGTTCCACGGAAAGGCTGCCCCACCACCTTTCCCAGGCCAAGAGCGGTGCCTCCTTGCAATTTAGGGGAGAGGGCTCTGAAAGTCTCCGACCACCAGCGACAGCGAAGCAAAGGCTACAGTTTCCTGGGCTCAGAGTCGCGTGTCTAGATCTCCACCACGACCTGCCAGGGGCAGTGGCCGTGGAACGTGTCCGAGAGGGGAAAAGTGGGGTCTGGCCACCTTGGGGGCCCATTCCCAGCACCGGGGCGGGCCGGGGGACCTGCGTGTCCAGGACGCCCTCCCAGTCGCCCCAAGCGAGCCCTGCACCCCGCTCCCCTCCTGGCCACCACCCTCGGGCCCCGCGCGCACCGAAGGGCGAGCCCGCCCCCACCCCCGCCTCCCAGCAGCGTCGGGCCGCGGCCGGGCACCCCTCGCCCAGCGCCCGCGAACAAAGGCAGACACCGCCCGCGCGCTCCAGGCCGGCACCGGCGCCATGAGGCCGCACGGGCGACGCACGCGCACTGGGCCGCAGGCGGGCACGCACGCACGCACGCACGACGCACGCGGCGCAGGCGCGGGGCGGCCGGGCAGGGCGCCGGCCGCGCGGAGGCCGCTGGGA